GCCCGCCACCAAGCCCGGCTAATTTTTTGTATTTGTAGTAGAGATGGGGTTTCACTGTGAAACCCCGTCTATGTGTTAGCCAGGTGGTCTCGATCTCCTGACCTCATGATCCGCCCCCCTCGGCCTCCCAAAGTGCTGGGATTACAGGCGTGAGCCACCATGTCCAGCCTTTTTTTTCTTTTTTTGAGACAAAGTCTTGCTCTGTCACCCAGGCTGGAGTGCAATGGTGCGATCTCGGATTACTGCAACCTCCACCTCCCAAGTTCAAGCAATTCTCCTGCCTCGGCCTCCCTAGTAGCTGAGATTATAGTGCCTGCCACCAAACCTGGCTAATTTTTGCATTTTTTTTTTTTTTTTTTTTTGAGATGGAGTCTCGCACTGTCGCCCAGGCTGGAGTGCAGTGGCGCGATCTCGGCTCACTGCAAGCTCCGCCTCCCGGGTTCACACCATTGTCCTGCCTCAGCCTCCTGAGTAGCTGGGACTACAGGCGCCCGCCACCGCCCGGCTAATTTTTTGTATTTGTTAGTAGAGACGGGTTTCACTGTGGTCTCGATCTCCTGACCTTGTGATCCGCCCTCCTCGGCCTCCCAAAGTGCTGGGATTACAGGCGTGAGCCACCGCGCCCGGCCTAAGTTTTGCATTTTTAGTAGAGATGGGGTTTTGCCATGTGGGTCAGGCTGGTCACGAACTCCTGACCTCAGGTGATCTACCCACCTTGGCCTCTGAAAGTGCTGGGATTACAGGTGTGAGCCACCATGCCCAGTCAGAATGGCTATTTTTTTTTTTTTTTAAGAAAAATAACAAATGTTGGTGAGGATGAAGGAAACTGAGACCCTCATACATTGCTGTTGGGAAGGTAAGATGGTGCAGCTGCTACATGTCCATTTTGTGCTGTTATAATGGAATATCACAGGCTGAGTAATTTGTAATAAACTGAAATTTATTGGCTCACAATTCTGAAGGCTGGGAAGTCCAAGACTGAGGGGCCAGCATCTGGCAAGAACCTTCTTGCTGTATCATCATCCCATGGCAGAAAGCAGAAATGCCATAGAGGGTGAAAGACAGAGCAAGGGAGGGCCGAACTTGTCCTTTTACATGATATGCACTCTTGTGATAACTAACCCATTCCTGTGATAACCATATTAATCTCTTGATGAGGGCACAATTTCCATGACCCAGACACCTCCACTAGGCCCTACCTCCTAACATGACCACCACATTGGGAATCAAATTTCCAGCACATGAAATTTGAGGACACATTTAAACCATAGCAATGGGTATAGAGTTTCTGTTTCAGTTGATTTTTTTTTTTTTTTTTTTTTTGAGATGGAGTCTCGCCCTGTTACCCAGGCTAGAATGCAATGGTGCAATATCGGCTCACTGCAACCTCTGCCTCCCTGGTTCAAGCGATTGTCTTGCCTCAGCCTCCTCAGTAGCTGGGATTACAGGCATGTGCTACCATGCCTGGCTAATTTTTTGTATTTTTAGTAGAGGTGGGGTTTCATCATGTTGGTCAGGCTGGTCTCGAACTCCTGACCTCATGCTCCGCCTGCCTCAGCCTCCCAAAGTGCTGGGATTACAGGCGTGAGCCACTGTGCCTCCCCGTTTCAGTTGATTTAAAAGTTCTGGTCTGGGCGCAGTGGCTCACGGCTGTAATCCCAGCACTTTGGGAGGCCGAGATGGGCGGATCACGAGGTCAGGAGATCGAGCCCATCCTGGCTAACACAGTGAAACCCCATCTCTAGTAAAAATACAAAAATTAGCCGGGCATGGTGGCGGGCGCCTGTAGTCCCAGCTACTCGGGAGGCTGAGGCAGGAGAATGGCATGAACCCGGGAGGCGGAGCTTGCAGTGAGTGGAGATCGCGCCATTGCACTCCAGCCTGGGGCGACAGAGCGAGACTCCGTCTCAAAAAAAAAAAAAAAAGTTCTAGAGGCCAAGTGCCTCAATCTCAGCACTTTGGGAGGCCAAGGCAAGTGGATTGCTTGAGGTTAGAAGTTCAAGACCAGCCTGACCAACATGGTGAAACCCCGTCTCTACTAAAAATTTTTTTAAAAATTAGCTGGGTGTGGTGGCATGAGCCTGTAGTTCCAGCTAGTTGGGAGCCTGAGGTGGGAGGACATTTGAGCCTGGCGAGCAGAGGTTGCAGTGAGCTGAGACTGCACTACTGCACTCCAGCCTGGAGTTCTGAAAATAAATAGTGGTGATGTTTACACAACACTGTGAATGTTTTGAATGCCCTTAAATCGTACACTTAAATAGAGTGAAAATGGGCCAGGCATTGTGGCTCATGCCTGTAATTTCAACACTTCGCGAGGCTGAGGTGGGAGGATCACTTGAGGCCAGGAGTTCTAGACCAGCCTAGGCAACATAGTGAGACCCTGTTCCTACAAAAACTTAAAAAATGAGCCGAGTGTGGTGACGCATGCCTGTAGTCTCAGCTACTCGGGAGGCTGAGGCGGGAGGATCGCTTGAGGCCAAGAGTTCAAGGCTTCAGTGAGCTATGATTGTAGCACAGCAGTTCAGCTTGGGTGACACAGCGAGACTTTGTCTCTAAATAAATAGTAGAAATGGAAATTTCATGTTAAGTGTATTTTACCACCACCACCACCACCACCACAGAGCTAAAGTCAAGGCCCAGGGAAGTCCTCTTTAGCAGAGAGCTGAGACAGAGAAAAGGGTTCTGAACCACAGCTGTCTGCTGAAGGAAGCTGTGCAAATGCCAGTGAAGTCTCTCCTGAGGGTGCCTGGGCTGTGCGTCGGGAGCGAAGGTTGAGGGTCGCCTTAGGTGTGAGAAGGAGCGACCGGGACAGTGGCACTGATGCTTCCCCCTGGGTTAGGAGGCATTCGGATCACAGAGCGATGCCTGTTCGTTCCTGCTTGCAAGACAGCAGATCTCTCGACACCCGGTGGGTCTCCTTTCCGGCAGCTGTCCGTGTCAGGAGTGCTGGGCCTGCTCCTCCCCATGGAGCCATCACAGAGGCCTCGGGCAGTCTGCATAGACCGCTGCCTGGCAGGTGACCAGGAGGGATGAATGAGCAGATGCAGGCAGCACTTGCAGTCCCCCTCGCTGTGCCCTCAGCACCTGCTGTCTAGGAGGCAGAAGCCTTGTCTCAGCCTTGCAGGTGACCCCGGTGTCTCTGAATGCAACCCCATATGTGTAGGAGGCGGGTGATTGCATCTGAAGATGGGAGAAGAGTTGGGGGTTTGCGAAGCTCCCATCACCCCTCAAGAGCCCACTGACCGGCCCAGCTCCCGCCAGGTGGGCCTTGGCATTGGAGGCCACGGGTCAACTCTGCAGTTCCCTCTGGGCAGCATTTCCAGGGACTCGTAGGTCCCCATGGTCCTCAAGGAGGGGTGGTGAGAGCAGCTCCTCATTGTCCTGGTGACCCTGATGGTTCATTTTCTAGTGTCTCTGTGGCGAGCTCCTGTTACGTCGAGCGAGTAAAAACCACCGAGAACCAGCAGCCCCAGAAATGCACCGAGAATAAATATAGGATGAGTGGGGTTTGTGAGGACTGTTTTCTGTGTCTTAGCAGGGAAAGCCTGGAAGGGAAGGTAAAACTTCTGCTTCCCAGGGAAGCCAGAAGCCTGAGAACTTAAAAGGGAAAGATAACTTAATACGTTTCAAAAATGTAACCCTCATGGATTAGCAACACTTTTATAAACAAAGAGCTTTCCGAGCTTATAGAATCTGTTCTGATTCATCTGTGCCCCCACAAACTTTACCCTATTTTTAAGAGTCATCTTGCGAACAGCCTCAAAGGTGCATCAGAATGACAACGGAAACAAGAAGAATTATTAGGGCACGAAGTATCGGGAGATCTGAGGCCATATATCTATAGCACACAGTGTTTACTGCCCAGGATATCTCAGACAATCACAGTTTTCTGGAAATGATTTCGGTAATTGGAGTTTTCCTTCCCAAGACAAGGCATTTTAGGGAATAGCGTCCTATATCCGTGGAGTTTGCGTCCTGTAGTCACTATATTCATAGACTGCTTTAGGTACTTACAGAGCAAAAGATACCAGTCCTGCATTGCTGCCATTAACGTGCCTTTGTTTGCTTCACTGGAGATGAAATTCTACTGCAGGTGTTTCCCAAGGTTCCATATGACCCGTCATTTAGCGAAACAACAGCAGTCCGATCCATTACAAAGACAGACATGAGAAAAGGCAAGTGTATGCCGTTAACACAGTAAGTGCACACATGTCTGTAGGCCTATGTGTTGTCTTCAATGTGCTATTATCATCCTAGCAGTCTCTAAACCAACTGCTGGCGGGGCAAAGCCAAATGGAGATAGGAAGGAAACAACTGTCTGAAATCCTCTCTGTAACCTTCCCCCCGCTGTGGAGTCTGTGCTCCGAAGCGTGACTATCCCTGTATTTTGGGGTGATCCTTGATGTGCAGTGTTAGGCAGGTTCTGCCACCCTGGAGGTATTCAGAGGACAGAAACCTGATCTGCAAGTGGGGTTCCCCGTTCCCGACAACAGCAGCCCCTAGCAGCATTATAACTTTCAACCCAACACACGAATCCTAAGTGCACAATGTGGTTTGAGAGGGTTAGTGCAGTCATTAATACCGCATTCAGTGGATGATAAAACAAGACTAAAAAATGACTTAGCTTAGGCACACCCAGAGAAATGACACATGTGAAGAGCGCACGCTTTCCCAAAAAGCAGCTTCATATTAGGGGAAACATTTAGCACGTTGGGAATTAAGATAGGTATCTGCTCACAGTAATAAGGATAGAATAGTGTACTGGAAATCTGCCAGCTGTGGGTGCAAGTGCCCCAGGCAGGGAGGGGGAATGGGCACTGTGTTGGTATTCTGCAGATGTTTGCGCCCCAGTTCCTGAGGGTAGTCTCCGTGAGGGTAGTCAGGACAACTGCCTGGGCACCTCTGCAGTCGGCAGTGAGGCGACCCCGCTCTCTACATCAAGGCATTCACGTTCAAACACACATTTGCTCTTACAAGTTGAGTTCTATATTAGCATTTCAACTTAGAAATGGAAAACAAGGTCAGGTGCGGTGGCTCACGCCTGTAATCCCAGCACTTTGGGAGGCCGAGGTGAGTGGATCACTTGAGGTCAGGAGTTCGAGACCAGCCTGACCAACATGGCGAAACCCTGTCTCTACTAAACATACAAAAAATTAACTGGGCGTGGTGGCACATGCCTGTAGACCCAGCTACTTGGGAGGCTGAGACATGAGAATCACTTGGACCCGGGAGGTGGAGTCGTGCCACTGCACTCCAGCCTGGGTGACAGCGAAACTCTGTCTCAAAAGACAAAAAAACAAAAAACGGAATACAAAATATGGGCCCAAGGTGCTTGCAAATGTGTACTGATGAAGATCCTTTTTCTTCTTCTTCTTTTTTTTTTTTATGTGTCTTATCAAAGCAACCAGTGTTGCTTGGAATTCTCCTGGACCAGAATATTTCCTTGGCAGTGTGGACAAAATTCCCGATAAAGGTAAATGCAAATGCATAACATTGGAATTGAGGGTCGATAAGTCGTCGTTCTTCTTCCCCCCCACCTTTTTTTTCTTCCATGGAGTCTCGCTCTGTCACCCAGGCTGAAGTGCGGCGGCACAATCTCGGCTCACCGCAAGCTTCGCCTCCCAGGTGCACGCCATTCTCCTGCCTCAGCCTTCCAAGTACCTGTGACTATGGGCGCCCGCCACCACGCCTGGCTAGTTTTTTGTATTTTTTAGTAGAGACAGGTTTTCATCGTGTTCGCCAGGATGGTGTCGATCTCCTGACCTCGTGACCCGCCCACCTCGGCCTCCCAAGGTGCTGAGATTACAGGCGTGCTGGGATTGCAGGCGTGCAGGGATTACAGGCACGCTGGGATTACAAGCATGCAGGGATTACAGGCGCGCTGGGATTACAGGCGTGCAGGGATTACAGGCACGCTGGGATTACAAGCATGCAGGGATTACAGGCGCGCTGGGATTACAGGCGTGCTGGGATTATAAGCATGCAGGAATTACAAGCATGCAGGGATTACAGGTGCGCTGGGATTACAGGCGCGCTGGGATTACAGGCGTGCTGGGATTACAAGCATGCAGGGATTACAAGCATGCAGGGATTACAGGCGCGCTGGGATTACAGGCGTGCAGGGATTGCAGGCGCACTGGGATTGCAGGTGCAGGGATTACAGGCGCACTGGGATTGCAGGCGTGCAGGGATTGCAGGCGCGCTGGGATTGCAGGTGCAGGGATTACAGGCACGCAGGGATTGCAGGCGCGCTGGGATTGCAGGTGCAGGGATTACAGGCGCGCTGGGATTGCAGGTGTGCAGAGATTACAGGCGCGCTGGGATTGCAGGCGCGCAGGGATTGCAGTCACGCTGGGATTGCAGGCGTGCAGGGATTACAGGCGCGCAGGGATTACAGACGTGCAGGGATTACAGACGTGCTGGGATTACAGGTGTGCTCGGATTAGAGACATGCAGGGATTACAGGCGTGAGCCACTGGGCGGCCCCTCTTTTTCCTCTTACCTGACCTGAGTTCAGAGCTGAGGGTCTGGCAGATGGTGCTCAGACTCTCTTGTAGAGAAACACCTGTACTTGGCTGCACAACGTGGGTGCTTCACCCTGAATTAGGAAGAGTTCCCCAATCACTGGTAAGGTTTTGGATACCCGTCGTTTCCCCAGATCCCCCCCTGTGCGAGTCTGCTTCTGTGATATGTACAGCAAGGAGGAGCAGATCAGAATGTTTATTCTCTGCAGGCAGACAGATGCTAGCCAGGAGGGAGAGAGAGCAGGCCACAGACAGCTGGTGCCTCCTCCCAGACTGACCTGGGCAGGTCCTTTCCCCTCTGGGGTGGTGGGGCTGGGCAGGGGCTGAGCACATTCGGGAGGTGCTGCCCCAGAGGGATTCTCCCCTTCTCCTCAGGAGTGTGGGAAAGCGCTGCCTCCAGCCAGGAGCAGAGGCTCATCTGAGCGATCTGATCATGCTGGAGGGGGACTGGCTCCGAAGACAGGATGAGCAGCTAGAATCCATGCAGCATTTCTCCCCTAGAAAGACTTAAAAGATTTAAAAGAAAAAAACCAGGCTAAATAGGTCACTGTCCGAGCTGGGAAATACGTGGTCTTTCCTGGGTGCAGGATTATGAACCTCACCAGGGGTTCCCGGGCCGCACCGTGCATCAGCCAGGGGTAGGGGCTAGGGAATGGGAAGAGCTGATTAAAAATCCTTTTTCCTGGCCGGACGATGTGGCTCCCCTGAAGTCAGGAGTTCGAGACCAGCTACTCGGGAGGCTGAGGCAGGAGAATCTCTTGAACCCGGGAGGCAGAGGTTGCAGGGAGCTGAGATCGTGGCACTGCACTCCAGCCTGGGCAACAAGAGCGAAACTCCTTGCTGGGATTACAGGCGTGAGTCACCGCGCCTGAAAACAGTGTGTTTCCATGTCTTGTCGGACTAGTTCCCCTTTTGCAGTTTTTGTTTTTTCATTGTCTTCCTGGCTATTTTTGCATGTTTGTTTTTCCATGTGAACTTTAGCATCAACTTGTCTAACTTCATCCAAAGGCTTTTGGTATTCTGATTGGCATTGCATCAAATTTATACGACAATATTCACTTTGGGAAAACAGATGTTAGGTCATCCTATGCTAGAAATGGGAATGCCTTTCCAGTTCTTCAAGTTTATTTTCAGTGTGTGTTAAAGTTTTCCTTACATAGATTTTTACATGTATCTTCTTAAGTTTATTCCTAAGTCACTTAATTTTCTATGTTGCTATTGTAAGAGAGGGGGTTTCTCTATCATTATACCTTCTACCTACTTAATGTTTGGGAATAGGAAGGCTTGCTTTTTGGATGTGAATTTTATGTCCTATTGCCTTATTCAATTCTACATATACTGTTACATAGATAGTTTTACTTCTTCTTTTTTTTTTTTTTTTTTTTTTTTTTGAGATGGAGTCTCACTCTGCTGCCCAGGCTGGAGTGCAGTGGCATGATCTCAGCTCACTGCAACCTCTGTCTCCCAGGTTCAAGCGATCCTCCTGCCTCAGCCTCCTGAGTAGCTGGGACTACAAGCATGCGCCACCATGCCCGGCTAATTTTTGAATTTTTATCAGAGACAGGATTTCACCATGTTGGCCAGGCTGGCCTCCAACTCCTGACCTCAGGTGATCTGCCCTCCTTGGCCTCCCAAAGTGCTGGGATTACAGGTATGAGCCACCATGCCCAGTCAGTTTTACATCTTTACCTATTGTTATGCCTCTACCTGATTTATTTATCATGTTTAATTGGATTGCTAATACCTCTAGGTTAATCTTGAGTGGTTGCTGGAGATACAGTGGGCATCCTGCTTTGTTCTTGCTCTTGGAGAAAATGCCTCTTGAGTTTCCTGATTAAGAGTCTGGTTATAGGACTAATATGAATAAGTAAGATTATCTATCTGTATATCTATCCTTCCATCTACACACATACATGTAAATATATACGGATACATATATTTATACTGAAAATGATAATCTGTCCAAAAAATACTTTTGGGTATTTTTTTCTGTTTCTATGAGTTGAGTTACTTTAGATATCTCATGTAAGTTGAATCATACAGTATTTGTCTTTTTGTGATTGGTTTAGTTCACACAGTATAATGTCCTCAAGGTTAATCCATGTTGTAGCATATGACAGAATTTCCTTTCTTTTTAAGCTGAATAATATTCTATTGTATGTATATACCATATTTTCTTTATCCATTTATCTATTTTTGGACACTTGGGTTGCTGTCATATCTTGGTTATTGTAAATAATGCTGCAATTGGCCAGGCGCAGTGGCTCAAGCCTGTAATCCCAGCACTTTGGGAGGCCAAGACGGGCAGATCACGAGGTCAGGAGATCAAGACCATCCTGGCTAACATGGTGAAACCCCGTCTCTACTAAAAAAAATACAAAAAACAAGCCGGGCGAGGTGGCGGGTGCCTGTAGTCCCAGCTACTCGGGAGGCTGAGGCAGGAGAATGGCGTGAACCTGGGAGGCGGAGCTTGCAGTGAGCTGAGATCCGGCCACTGCACTCCAGCCTGGGCGACAGAGCGAGACTCCGTCTCAAAAAAAAAAAAAAAAAAAAAGCTGCAATGAATATGGGTATGCAAATATCTCCAAGATCCTGTTTTCAATTCTTTAGGATATGTATCTAGAAGTGGGATTGTGGGGTCATATGGTAAATCTATCTTTAATTTTTTGAGGAACCTCCATATGGTTTCCATAGCAGCTGCACTGTTTTACATTCCCACCAATATTCGTAAGAGTTCCCACTTCTTCACATCCTTACTAACATTTGCTATCACATATTTGCTTGAATATTTGAAAAATCAGGAATAGGTGGGTGTTGAATTTTTGGAACTAATCATATGATTCTTTTCCTTAAGTCTATTAAGATTATATATATGATAATAATGAATTTCCTAATGTCAAACCAACCTTGCATTCCTAGAATAAATTCTACTTGGTCATAGTGAGGCTTGGAGAGTCCAGTCACTGCTCAGGAATCTTGGGCTGGGGCCCAGCTTTTTCCCTGCTTCAGCACATCTGTGTTGTCACTCAGACTGGCAGGGGACTGGGAAGGAGCCTTGGGGTTCCTTTAGCCACCAAGAAAGCAGTAGGTCCTTGTATAGATATGTAGACTGAGCCATGATTTATAACTTTTAATTATTGATACATATGGTAGGTGTTTCTCCATTTGTATTTTCAATTTTTAAAAATTGTTATAGAATACACATAATATGAAATTTTACCATCTTAACCATTTTTGAGGGCACAGTTCAGTGGTATTAAATATATTCATAATGTACAACCATCACCAACATTCATCTCCAGAACTCTTTTCATCTTATAAAACCAAAACTCTATATGCGTTAAATAATAACCATGCATTCCCCCGTCTCTGCATCCCCTGGCAACCACCGTTCTACTTTCTGTGATTTTGACTACTCTAAATATCTCACGTAAGTGCAATCATACAGTATTTGTCTTTTTGTTACTGACATTTGATTTTGCATAATGTCCTCAAGATTCATCCATGTTGTGGCATATTTCAGAATGTTCTTTCTTTTTGAAACTGAGTAATAGTCCATTGTGTGTCTCTACCATGTTTTGTTTACTCACTTATCCCTTGATGGATATTTGGGTTGCTTCCACATTTTAGCCTTGTGAATAATCCTGTTATAAACATGGATGTACAAATAATTCTTTGAGACCTTGCTTTCAGTTATTTTGGGTACATACTCAGAAGTGAAATTGCTGGATGATATGGTGATTTTGGTTTTAATTTTCTGAGGAACTCTCATACTGTTTCCTATCATGGCAGTAACATATTACATTCTTACCAACAGCACACAAGGGTTTCAGTTTCTCCACATCCTTGCCAACATGTGTTATTTTCTTTTTGTTTGTTGCCCGGGCTAGAATGCAGTGGCACAATTGATCTCAGTTCACTGCAGCCTCCGCCTCCCAGTTTCAAGCGATTCTCCTGCTTCAGCCTCCCAAGTAGCTAGAACTACAGGTGTGTGCCACTGCACCCGGCTAATTTTTTATATTTTTTAGTAGAGATGGGAATTCACCATGTTGGCCAGGCTGGCCTTGAACTCCCAACCTCAGGTATTCCACCTGCCTTGGCTTCCCAAAGTGCTAGGATTACAGGCGTGAGTGGCCGCACCCAGCCTATTTTCTGTTTTTTTGATAGTAGCCATCCTAATGGATATGAGGCGGTATTTCATTGTAGTTTTGGTTTGCAATTCCCTAATGATTACTGATGTTGAGCATCCTTTGAAGTTCTATTTGCCATTTGTATATCTTCTTGGGGAAAATGTCTATTCAAGTTATTTGCCTATTTTTGAATCAGTTGTTTTTTGTATTTTTGTATTTTGTTGGGTGTCAGGAGTTCTCTCTGTAGTCTGAGTATCATTCCCTTACCAGATAAACAATTTGCAAATGTTTTCTCCCATTCTGGGTGGGGTACCTTTTTATTCTGTTGACACTGTCTTTTGATGCACAAAATTTTAAAATTTGCTTAAAGTCCAATTTGTCCATTTTTTCTTTGGTGGCCTGTGACTTTGGTATCAAACCCAAGAAATAATTTCCGAATCCAATGTCATGAAGTTTCTGCCCTCTGTTTTCCTCTAAAAGTTTTTATAGTTTTAGGCATTACTTTTAGGTCTTTGATCCACAGTGAGTTAATTTTTGTTTACGGTGTTGGATAAGGATCTAACTTTATTATTTTGCATGTGGATATCCTGTTTTCCTAGTACCATTTGTTAACCTATTAAAATTATTGTGCTGGTTTTGCAAATGTTAGGTGTGGTCTGCCCAGGTATGTATATTACAGTGCCAAGATACCTCTGCCCCTGAATAATGTACCTTCACCCTTGAATAAGAAAACGCCCCTGAATAATTTACCTTCACCCCTGAATAATCATTGTTCAAGTAAAATTAAGTGATATGCTTGGGGAATAGAAAGCCTGCTATCTAACTTGATCTTTTGATTTCTAAAACTGTTTCTTCGGTCCATTGCTTTCACATACTTTTACTTTCAAATCTTTATTTTTCCTTCAGGAGGAACCAGGACAACATTTTTTTTCTTTTTTCTTTTTTTTTTTTTTGAGATGGAGTCTCACTCTGTCACCCAGGCTGGAGTGCAGTGGCACAATCTCCGCTCACTGCAAGCTCCGCCTCCCGGGTTCACGCCATTCTCCTGCCTCAGCCTCCCGAGTAGCTGGGACTACAGGCACCGGCCACCATGCCCAGCTAATTTTTTGTATTTTTAGTAGAGACGGGGTTTCACCGTGTTAGCTAGGATGGTCTGGATCTCCTGACCTTGTGATCCGCCCTCCTCGGCCTTCCAAAGTGCTGGGATTACAGGCGTGAACCGCCGCGCCCGGCCATATTTCTCGTTTTCGACTGTCTTCTTCCTATTAAACTATTCTGCAATCTGTCTACCAATACCTGAGTATTTCAGAGTGGTTAATTTTCCTCTCTTGTCCTTGCAACTCAAGAAAATTTTTATAGTACTTTGTGGTTTCAAAATTATTTTTATGAACATTATACAGTCTGTGAGGTAGGTCTTATTATCTCTATTTTATGCAAGTGGAGAAGTAGGTTGGGGCTTAGAGAGGTTCTCACTTGGGTCCTCTAAGCGTGGTTCTCTACCCACAGAAGCAGCATCTTTCAGGATCTGTGAGACATGCACATTCCCAGGCCTACCCCAGACCTACGGAATCAGAAACTCTGGGGTGGGGCCTGGGAATCTGTGTTTTCAAAAGCCCTCCCAGTGTGATTCAGATGCACGCTTAAGTGTAAGAAATGCTGCCTCAGCTGTGGGTGGGTTGCCCAGGAATTTGTTAGATTTTTTAAAAAGTAAACAGAAACAAAAAAACAGCAAAACACTGAGGTTCTGTAGGCTTTATTTAGACTTTTCCCCCAAATCCTCCCTAACTCCTCACTTTGAGTCTAGAAGAAGCTACTTTTCTCATAAATGCTGAACTAATCACAGGCCGTGGTTGTTTGTAGATGAACACATTTTATCTTTTGTAGATCACCTTTCAGAGGAGAAGAGGTTTAAAGAATCCTCTCTGTTCGACAGGGATTTAAGAGAGCAGTTAACTACTGTAGATAAAGAAACACTTCAAGGGGCAGCTAAACCAGGTGGGAACCTATATGGTATAAACCAAGTATGATGCTTAAATACAGACAACTTCTGAATGTGTCTTTTGCCTTTCATGATATTTTAACTGACACCTTTAGTTCACCCGCAAAAGTGAAATAAATCTGCCGTGAATACAATCTGCAGTTAAAATTTATGAATTAAACCAACTCCAGAGGCTGGGCATGGTGGCTCACGCCTGTAATCCCAGCACTTTGGGAGGTCAAGGTAGGCGGATCACCTTAGGCCAGGAGTTCGAGACTACCCTGGCCAACGTGGTAAAACCCTGTCTCTACTAAAAATACAAAAGAAAAAATTAGCTGGGCGTGGTGGCAGGTGCCTGTAATCCCAGCTACTCGGGAGGCTGAGGCAGTTCAAGAATCACTTGAACCCAGGAGGTGGAGGCTGCAGTGAGCTGAGATCGCACCAGTGCACTCCAGCCTGGGCAATAAGAGCGAGACTCCATCTAAAAAACAACAAACAAACAAACAACCGAACTCCAGGAATTTCACCACTCTTCCAAAAAGATGCTACTTTTTTTTTTTTTTTTTTTTTTGAGACGGAGTCTGGCTCTGTCGCCCAGGCTGGAGTGCAGTGGCCGGATCTCAGCTCACTGCAAGCTCCGCCTCCCGGGTTTACACCATTCTCCTGCCTCAGCCTCCCGAGTAGCTGGGACTACAGGCGCCCGCCACCGCACCCGGCTGATTTTTGTTTTTTTAGGAGAGATGGGGTTTCACCGTGTTAGGATGGTCTTGATCTCCTGACCTCGTGATCCGCGTGTCTCGGCCTCCCAAAGTGCTGGGATTACAGGCTTGAGCCACCGCGCCCGGCCCAAAGATGCTACTTTTACATTGTTTCTGCACAGCCAGGGCTTCACCCTGGCTCATCCCTGAGCCCAGACCTGTTTAGAGTGGGCAGAAACTTACCCATGCTGGCACCAAGCACGGTACACCCCTCCACACTGCCACTCCCTGTCAAAATTATACCTGGTTGTCACTTCCTAATGCTTAGAAACTAAATGCCGAATTATTGCAGCAGAGCCTTTGAGCTGCTGGACATGCTGCCCCTTGGCATAGCAGAGCTGAAGGTGGGAGGCTGGACATGCCCTGTTTTCTCCCCATCACCAAGAAGACCCTTGCTCAGCACTCCCCGTGTCTACATCACCGGCTGCCCTGGACAGCTCTCCACAGGAAACCAGCTGATACCTGGGATCCTACCTCCATGCCCGATTTCCCTGATGTCGTTTTCTTTTTTGGTCACATTATAAATGGATGCTGATGTGGGCTGAGATCTCCTTGCTTTGAGATCTAGCTAAGACTGCCGTGTTTTCCCCAGCCTGTGCTCAGCGGTATTCCCATCCACTCTCACACTTTCTGTAAGTCCTCAGAGGGGCTCAGGAGTTCAGGATCATCCGTGGCGTTGTGTTTGCCTCGTGCTGGTGCAGACGTGAGGTCCCCCAAACCTACACCCACTAGGCGGACTGTGTATGCAGTACCACTTCCTGAGGCCAGGGGGCAGAGGAGGGGCAGCAGAGAAGAGGTTCTATCACTGCCTGTGAAAAGCTGCAAACGGAATATTTGCCTCCATTGTTCTTAAAAGCCTTTGCAGTAGGATTTCTCAACCTCCTCTAGTGCCCCCGTCTCCTCTCACCCACCTGAGCTCTCCTCTGTTCTTCTCTTTACCTCTTACAAACTGGTCTGTGGAACTTTATTTCTGGTTGCTTTGTTGTGTGCCAGCCCATACCCTCAGTGTCTCATCTCCACCTCCCAAAAGCATCTCATCTTATCACCAAATAGCAGATGAATGCATTTCCCCAAACAGCCAGTTCGTTCCCAAGAGGACTTCTGAAACGAGTGGCTAAGACGCCAAGGTTTTTATTCTGTTATGAATGGAATGAACAGGTGTCGCTTGAAGGTTTAGTCCTGGTGGTGGGTGGCCCAGCGGGGATCTCTGTTCACTCTGCACTGTGTCTTCTCATTTAGATGCTCACTTTAGGACTCTGCCCTGCAGGCAGCTTCTGCATTTCCTGCAGAGGAACACCATCATCGCCGCCATCTCAGGGGTGGTCATCCTCACGGCCACCGTGCTGTTGCTGTTTGGTTTGGCCTCATACATCAGGAAGAAACGGCCATCGTGAGTAGTGCCAGCATGGCCTTCCTTCCAAGAACCTGCGGGTGTTTGAACTCACGCTGCCCCCAGGGCTTCCTGCTGATCCGGTTTAGGAGGAGGGCAGAAGCTGCAAGCCTGGTTGTGCTTCAGCATCCGCTGGCCTGCTCTGTCAAAGCACACAGGACCTGGGCCATGGGTTTTAGGCACAGCCTGGGTGATTCTGATGCACAGCCGGGTTTGGGGATCCCTGGGTGGGCCAGGGTTGCCTCTCAAGGCCACTGCAGTTAGGCCAGACCTGTCTCCATATTGAGGGCTCTGGCTGAAAGATTGGTAAATAGAAATATGGATTTATAAAAGGAAGGAAAAACACAAATCTAAGGGGGCGAGGAGGGCTGAAGCCACAAAAGAGAGTGAGAGCAGGGCTGATATCAGCTCATTCACACTGACACAGCTGCCCTGCTTGTTAGAATACTGAAAGCCTTCCCTGAGCTTCCCACTGACCTCCTGATCTTCTCCGTCCTCCTGCAAATGAAGGGTTAGTGCCTGGCACAGCCATGGCCCTCCAAGGCTCTGCTTCAGTGGTGGTCATTTTGACCGGTCAGTGCCTGTCTACACCAGTTGTTAAATATTTTGGTTAGGCCTCTAGATGGGGGGGCTCAGGCACAGGGGCACTCACCATGAGCAGGCACTAGAAAGCAAATGGTTTGCACGGTGATGTGTATGCATAGCTGCATTTTGAGATTATGTGCTTCTTGCTGCATCCCCGGGGACACGTATTCCTGACCGCAGAAGGAAGAGCAGCTCCCCACAGTCCCTCAGGTCCTGCCCAACACCGGGCTGAACGCTCTGCTTGCCCCTAGAGCAATGGGGTGGAGGCGTGTGATGAGGGGAAGTGTCCGTCCCCACCGCTACCCACCCTCTGACTCCAGAGGTAGCAGGGTTTGAATTTTCCCACAAGAGTGGCATTGCTTTCCCTCCATGCCAAGGTTCCTGGGACTGGTGATCCATTCAGGCCACCTCCTCCCCATCCCCACCTCCAGCATCCTCTTCCTACCAAGGCTAATCCATTGGACCTGCCATTTTCCCTCCATGCCCCTTGAGATGCCAGCAGAAGTGATTAGAACTGTGGCCCCATCCCATAGGGATCAGTCAAAGCTGTGGATGGCCTGAGTTAGTTAAGAGAAAGTGGGGGGAAGAGAGTTTCCCAGAGGCTCTGTGCTGCCCAGAGGTAAAAAGAATTTCACAGATGACAAACCCTACTGATGGGAAGCAGAGTCCTCACCCTGGGAAGCGCCAGCCTCCACCACTGCCCAGCGAGTCGACGGCAGGAGCTCCTGTGCACTGAGCTGAGCACCATGGTTTTAATTGTTTTGTTTTAGATCTCCTCCGGCAAACACGACATATAATATTTTTATAATGAATGGAAAGACATGGTGGCAAAATTCTGAAGAAAAAAATTTCACAAAATATACAAAAAAAGAGAAACAGTTGAAGAGCAGCTCCTGTGTCTAAGCCAGGTCGCGGGGCAGTCAAACCAGGACTTGAAACTACGATGCGAGGACATTTCTCCATCCACACACCACAGGGAGGCAATTCCATTTCTGCCCGGGGAGGTGTATTCTACAAAAACGTCTGCTTCCCGTCCCAATTTGAATGGACCAAGAAAAACTGCTTTGCCACAGGACACCTGTGGTAACATGGCACCGATGGCCGGCGTCGGCGAACCCAACAGACTATGGACTTACCATTTAATAAAGCATTGATTCATTTATTCAGTCATTCATGGAACAGATATTAATAGACCACCTCACATGCTGACAATATCAAAATACAATGAGGAAACTTAAGAGTGACTCAGATATGCATTCTGTCCCGAGCAAGATCACAGTCCAGGGTGTGAACACAACCACACTAAACAGCTTTTATGGGAGGTGGGAGTACAGAAAGTTTTGTATCTACAAAGAAACTGCTAAGAATTGTGGAAGCTCCCCACCAGGTGATTTCCTGCTTGCATGACCAGGAAGAAGAAATGGGGTAATTGAGAGTGTCATGAAGTGGGGTTATTTATTTATTTATTTATTGAGTTGGAGTCTCGCTCTGTCACCCACGCTAGAGTGCAGTGGCGTCATCTTGGCTCGCTGCAACCTCTGTCTCTGGGTTCCAGTGGTTCTCCTGCCTCAGCCTCCTGAGTAGTTGGGGTGACAGCTACGTGCCACCATGCCTAGATAATTTTTGTATTTTTAGTAGAGACGGGGTTTCACCGTATTAGCCAGGATGGTCTCGATCTCCTGACTGCATGATCCTCCTGCCTCGGCCTCCCAAAGTGCTGGGATTACAGGCATGAGCCACCGCACCTGGCTGAAGTGGGGTTATTTATAAAGCTGTGATCAGGGTTAAGGGAAACTGATGAAGAGTGGCGAGGCACCTGGAGCGAGCGGGACCGGGAGCTGATGCCATTAGGGGAGGGGCAGGTACGAAAATCTAGAGAACTCAAGAGCCTCTGACAGGCTGTAACCTTTGGTGGAGGAGCAGGGACACATTGGAACCACTCAACAGGGAGAGATCAGGGCGATGAACACCCTGAATGCCTGCTCTTGGAGCCCTTTGATTTCCTACAAGTGAATTCCATTGGCCATACGTATGGCCACTTACCAGGATGACTTTCCTCAATGCACAGTCACCGTGGTAAGTGGCCACAGGTCCCCTTGGGGACGACTGAGAGAAAGATGAACAGTGTACATTTTTGACAGTGTAGTAGGGCTCTTCCTCAAGCAGATCCAACCTCCCCATCATTTAATGGGTTTGGGGTATATAACCTAGCTCATGTCTGGGAAATAATTGAGGGACTGTTACTCTCTATTTTGCTAATTCAAGTTAGATGTCTAATTATACAACATGGAACTCTGCTTGCACAGATCAAGTCAGAATTTAGTAGATTGCTTATCTACTTCTTTTCTAGGGACATCATGATGAACTAGACAGTGCCAAAGGTCCCTGTGAGTTTGACTATTCTGGCTAACATTTTGACACCACTGTTCATAACAGCAGCCATATCCACCTTGCCTTTGACAATAAGTATGGCCACTCAGACCTCACCGTCCCGGGATCCAACTATCTGCATTGCATTTTGGGATCCCAGTTTGATGGTAGCCGTTTCCATCGTCATTTCTGACCTGCAGAAAGGAATTACTACAGAGCTCTCAAGGACTCTGGAGCCCTCCTCACCAATTTATTTCTCATAGTCATGATAAAAGGTGTATTGTTTGGACCCTTCCAGGGTGGGTGAGCAGGTCTTACATGAGAAATCCACTCTAATATTGCAGATTCCTTAAGCCTTTGGGTCCCTTCCTCTACAGTATAAGAATAGAGTTCTGGCATTTCAACTTCATTTACTGTGGGTTATCTTTGGACTCATGTTTCAGCTAACCAACCAAATGGAGCCCTTTCTAATCCCTCCAGCTAAAACACGGAGCCCAGAACCTCTGCTCAATGGGCTCATACCAATAAATGCAGCCTGATACAATGCCATGTTCCTTCCATCATTACCCCACATCCTTATATCTATGTCTATGCACATTCCTCACATTTACGTCAGTATACATTAGAAAAATCATGCAGTTCTTTCAGTGCTTAGTGTACCTTTTGTTGTATGGGGTGCTTTATCCTCACTCTTTGGGACCTGCTGGAATTTGAGTCTAGTTATGGGTCTAGAAGCAAAGAGGAGTGGTAGAAGTGGGTCCTGAGGAGAATTGGTGGGGTCTTGTGAGAGGACCTTAGGAGAGACCATTACAGGGTTCTACAGAAAAATCAGGGTTAACCTCCTCAGAGAGGGTGGAAGGGCTACTTCTGCTGGCAAACAAGACTCAGCAGAATTTAGGGGTTTGATACCCCCAACTTCACTGGGATCTTCCCATATGTCCCCATTCCAGTTTTATAGGATACCATTCATTTTCGGTCAGTTCTCTCACTTTAACACAAGACCAGTCTGCAAGGCTAGGCATTCAGGTGCATTGCAATTCAGTCGCTTTGGGTTTGGTGTTCAGAAATCTCAGCCCTGCAGCTACAGGAGATAAGGATTTCTTTCAGGACTGACATAGGAGTTTTTCTCTTTTTCTTTCTCTTTCTTTTCTTTCTTTCTTTCTTTCTTTCTTTCTTTCTTTCTTTCTTTCTTTCTTTCTTTCTTTCTTTCTTTCCTTCTTTCCTTCTTTCCTTCTTTCTTCCTTTCTTCCTTTCTTCCTTTCTTTCCTTTCTTTCCTTTCTTCCTTTCTTCCTTTCTCTCTTTCTCTCTTTCTCTTCTTTCTTTTCTCTTTTTTTTTTCTTTTTTTGACAGAGTCTCACTGTGTCGCCAGGCTGGAGTGCAGTGGCGTGATCTTGGCTCACTGTGACCTCCACCTCCCGGGTTCAAGCAGTTCTCCTGCCTCAGCCTCCCGAGTAGCTGAGACTACAGGTGCACACCACCACGCCCAGCTAATTTTTGTATTTTTAGTAGAGACAGGGTTTCACCATGTTGGCCAGGATGGTCCCGATGTCTTGACCTCGTCGTGATCTGCCCACTTCGGCCTCCCAATTTTTTTTTTTTTTTTTTTTGAGACAGAGTCTCACTGTGTTGCCCAGGCTGGAGTGCAGTGGTGTGATCTTGGCTCACTGCAACCTCTGCCTCCCGGGTTCAAGCGATTCTCCTGTCTCAGCCTCCTGAGTAGCTGGGATTATAGGTGCCTGCCATCACACCCAGCTAATTTTTGTATTTTTAGTAGAGATGGAGTTTCACCATGTTGGCCAGGCTGCTCTCAAACTCGTGGCCTCACGTGATCCACCCACCTCGGCTTCCCAAAGTGCTGGGATTACAGGCGTGAGCCACCGCGCCCAGCCCATAGAAGCTTTCAGTTCATTTATGCAGAGTTTAAGCTGGGAAAGTGAAAGCCTAAACTCATCCCTTTCTTTCCCCAGTTTCTCCAGCAACCAGTGAATATTTATTATACTCCTCAGTTTAACTAAAATGTTCTCAGGTGTCATCAAACACATGGGCACCCAGAACCTTGCCTTTTATATGTGTTTGATTGAGAGTATCCAATGGTAATATTTTGTATATCTCTATTGCCACATCATGCTATGGAGTACCTAAATGCCCCCTTGGCCACTGGAAATAGATTTAAGATTCTGTTCCTGGCCAGGCGCGGTGGCTCAAGCCTGTAATCCCAGCACTTTGGGAGGCCGAGACGGGCGGATCACGAGGTCAGGAGATTGAGACCATCCTGGCTAACACGGTGAAACCCCGTCTGTACTAAAAAAAAATACAAAAAACTAGCCGGGAGAGGTGGCGGGCACCTGTAGTCCCAGCTACTCAGGAGGGTGAGGCAGGAGAACGGCGTGAACCCGGGAGGCGGAGCTTGCAGTGAGCTGAGATCCGGCCACTGCACTCCAGCCTGGGTGACAGAGCGAGACTCTGTCTCAAAAAAAAAAAAAAAGATTCTGTTCCTGTCTTCTAGTACCAAAATTTGTATCAGTCAGCATCCCATGAGAGAAACAGAATTAGTAGGAGGATATGTAGAGTACTAAGAGATTTTTTTCACTTTTTGTGGGTACATAGCAGGTGTATGCGTTTATGAGGTACATGAGGTATTTTGATACAGGCATGCCGTGCATAATTACCACGTCAGGGTGAATGGAGTATCCAACACCTGGAACGTTTATCCTTCATGTTATAAACAATCCAATTATATTCTTTTAATCATTTTTAAGGTGCAATTAAATTATTATTGACTGTGGTCACCCTACCATGCTATCAAATACTAGGTCTTATTCATTCTTTTATTTTTTGTACCTATTAACCATCCTTACTTCTCCCCCGCCCCCACGACTCTTCCCAGCCTCTGGTAATCATCCTTCTACTCTCAATCTCCAGGAATTCAATTGTTTTCATTCTTAGCTCTCAGAAATGATGAGAGCATGCAGACTTTGCCTTTTTGTGCCTGGCTTATTTCACTCCACATCATGACTTCCAGTTCTATGTATGTTGGTGCAAATGACCATTTTTTGAATGGCTGAATAGTACTGCATTCATCAAATGTGTAAATGTACCACATTTCCTTCAGCCATTCATCTGTTGAGGGACTGTTAGGTTGTTTCCGGATCTTGGCTATTGGGAATAGTGCTGCAATAAACATGAGAGTGCGGCTGCCTCTTGGATACATGGATTTCCTTTCTTTTGAGTAGATACCCAGCAGTGGGATTGCTGGATTGTCTGGTAGCTCTATTTTTAGTTTTTTGAGGAACCTCCAAACTATTCTCCATAGTGGTTGTACTAACGTCCATTCCATACATTAGCAACAGTGTATGGGAGTTTCCCTTTTCTCCACATCCTAGCCAGCATTGCTAACGCCTCAGTTTCAGACTCTGGCCTCCAGAATGTGGCAGAATAAATTTTTGCTGTTTTAAGCCACCCGGTGTGTGGTGATTTGTTACGGCAGCCCTGGGAAACGAGTACATGGCCACGCACTCTTTCTCTGATACTTTGAGTCTCGAGGGTACATGAGATGGATTGGGCTGGGCCCAGGGCCGTGCAAGGTGTGGGAGGGTGTGTTTAGGGAATCAAGGGACGAAGGTCATGGCCCTGGTGCTTGTGGTCAGCAGGTTCGCAGATTCCTGGGGGCAACTGTTGGGTCTGAAGGGTTCCTGGCTACCTTCTCCCTTCATGGATGGGCTCTGGGAGCTGGGCCTCAGGAAAGGCAGGGGGAGGGGTGGTCAGGACAAGCTCAGAGGCGGTCCAACTGGGGCCTGAG